TTTTTATCTTGTTAGTGTGTTTGTTTTTATGTTTAGACTGTGAAATCAAAGTTAGTGTGTTTGTTCGTTTTTATGTTTGTACCCACTACTTAGAAGTCTAATGAATCTTTACATGTTGAATTAAAATGAAAATGATAGAAAATTGATCAAAAAAATAATTTTACTCCTGTTTTTAGTTTTGTACTTGTATAATCAGGGCATAAAAATTCTTATAAGCATGTTATTTTAATTTTCATTTCTGCTTATATATATCTGCTGCTAAACTGTTTTTAAACCTGTTAAAATTTAAGTTTGGGGGGAACGAAAATATTTTCAAAGCTTGAATTTTATTTGTTCTAAAATGTGCTCAAGTGAATTTGATTTGAAAAGAAAAATGATCATGTATATGAAGTTATATTAGGAAAGTAAAATTTGATTATAGAAATGAGTAAGAAAATTTAGTTAAAATTCTAAGTAATGAAGAAAAACTTTGAGTTAAAAGTTTTTGTATAGAAGATGCTAAATATAGTGTAACTATCTTTAGTAAAAAAAATTATATTTTTGAAAAATTTAGAAATTTAGAATTTTATTTTTAATACATAAGTTTCTCTTATTAAAAATAATTTTCAAAACTATCATTATATTTATAAGTAAAAGATTTATATCAGGACTTTGCTTTAGGAAATGAGAAGTGGAATTCAAAACCATTAAAAGCCTATCCAGATATAGTAATCATTGCCTGAAAAGGAAAAAGAAGAAGAAAAAGAAAAAGAAAAAGAAAAAAATAAATAAGGGAGGAGAAGCTTGAGGATCAATGCCTAATCAAAAATTGGTTTCACATTTGATCTTTTAAAGTAGAAGACTTGAGGAACTCTTAAGCTTAAGGATATAATATGATAAGTAAAATTATTCTTAATAAAAATTTTTAAGTAGAGATAATAAAAAGACTGAATTCTATATTTGGAAAACCTATAATATTTTTGAATTAGATATAAACTATATTTTCAAATTTCTTAACATTAAAAATTTCTAAACTTTAAGTTGGTCTCATTTACTAAATATTTTTTCTTAAATTGGATTATGAGTAGTTTTCTTTATCTTTCTCCTTAAAATGATAAGTAATTAAAGTGTTGAATGGAAGTTGTGGAGAGTATTAATATTTAATGTTGGATTTAATGTTGAATATTTAATGTTGGAAGAAGTTGTGATGATTTAATTTCAGTACTTCATTTACTTCTTGATCTAGCGTATCTAGATATTAAAATTTATTGTGAGAACATGTAAGAACCGGGCTGGTATTGTCTCAGTCAATAATTGGAAAGAATCACATGAGGTTGTATGAATGAGAATGTAGTTCATATGATTGAGTGCAAATAATTAAAGTAATAATCTTTGAATGGTGTAGAGTTAGAGGACTTTAGAGTGACAGGCTAAAGCCCCCAACTTGGTTTATTGTTTTAGGTTCTGATATAAGATATTAACTCACTAGGTGGAGGGAATCGAGGGAACTCTAGAGTGAGAGCCAGTTTCTTCCAGCCTAGTCGGTCTTCAGAACTATTCAAACTTTAAATTAGCTAATGTTCTTTGTAGCATCTCTAGTATGAGTAAAAAATAATATTGCTTCTGTTTGATACAATACAATTTGAATACTTTCACAACAGAATTCCTATACTTATTATTGATTCATGATAAGGAGAAATATATTTCATATTAAGTGCTTTTCTTTTACATAAACTCAAGTTTTCTTTAGAAGTTTTCATTGTTTTGCCAAAATATCAAAAATACCAAAAAGATTTGAATTTTACCTATTGTGAAAATATCTATAGTTTAAGTAATTGTCTTTTTAAAATAGAAAATTTGTTGTTTAATAGTGCATATTGTGAAATTCCTGTGGGTTCGAAATTCGTGTCTTAATAAAAAAGTTTTATATTACTTGATAACAATACGTATACTTGCATAAAATTCATATATATATATATATATATATAATTTTAAAAGTTAAATTTTTATTTTCTCCAGGATCAAGTTTTTTTGGTACTGTTGCAAAGTAAGGAAATATAAGTGAAAAATATGATTAAGGACTTTGTTATACTATTGCATATAAACAGCTGGGATCAACTAGCAGCAATCCGATGAACATCTTCCTCATTGTGAGCAGCGGACAATGAGTGGAACATACTCCCTCCTAAAAGAGGAGAAGTCTCAGGGAGTCCCATTTCTTTAGGCTCATCTTTTTTTTTCTTATCAGTATTATTTTAGTTTTCTATAGAGTGGTATGGTTTCTGTTCCTTCTTTGAGTACGAGTCAACGGTGCAGACTTGGAATTGGACTCCACTCAAACACAGAGGATAATAAAAAAAATATTCTTATTTCTCTTATATGACAGATTTCCTTTAAGATCAATTTTCACATACTGAACTGTAGGGTGAGCAAAGATGGACTTCAGGGCCCGCTTGACAGCACCAACTTTGTCAACTAGAGTCCTCTTTAGCAAGGGGAACTTTTGGTTGGACTTCAAGTTGAATTCAGTTAGTGGCTCTATGACCTTTGCAGTAATCATTTTCACTATAGTGTGAGGTACATTGCATAACACCACTTCAATTTCATTGTAATCGAACCCAAACTTGATTGACGATTCTTGGTAACTATCGTTCTTGTAGTAGGCAAGTTCAACCACCCATTAAACTAAAAGACAAGCTTTGGATAATCCATTACAGAAATAAATTCAAAATTCCAGTTTGACTTCTTTCCAACACTCCCATTTTACATTTTTAGTAACCCATTTGTAAATTGGGCATTTTCTTTATATTTCATTTTGTAGATTTTTTTTTTCCAATTTTTGTTGCAACTGACAAAAATCTTAGAAAGGTAGTTTGGATCCAGTCTTAAAACTGGTAAAATATTAAATTTAATTTTCAATCTTATGACTCGATGAATGTTAAGCTTGGATTGTTATTATTAAAGTTCATTCTTTTTATTTGGGGTAAGATTGTTTTATAGGACTTTGAACATTCTAGAACCTGTTCACGTAATGGAGTTTTAAAGAAACAGTTCTAGAAGTGTTGGTCAAACTTGTCCAAAAATGAAATGAACAAGACATGTCAATGAAAGAAGGGTAATCTGACTTGTTTGGGATGCAAGCATATTACCAATGTATGAAGATAAATGCATCAGCTAGAGATGGAAAGAGAAGTTGAATCCCTAGTGGAGTCGCTAGGATTGATTTGCTGGTTTTTATGCTTCGACTTAGGGCATTGAATATTGTACAAGATCTAAGAATTGGTTTTTTAAATAATCAAAGATGTCATAAGAAGCGACAGACCATCCCGAAAAATAGAAGTACGGTTTCATGATGGGTTCAGTTATTTGCATTAAGAAATGTCAGATATTTGCACCAGTTTGGGATTAAAATTGACAAATCATTCCACAATTTAATTGATTATTAGTTCGTTTGATACCATTTTTTACGAGTTTTTTGTTGTTTTTTTAATGCTATTATGCTTCTATTTGACTTTTATTTTTTCGTTATCTTAAAAAATTGTATCATAAAATTGTTCCACAATCAAATCAGTTAGAACAGGCTGTGGTCTATTTTCATTGAAAATGTGCTAGCGCAAAACCTGAAGAGATCTAACACCTCAGAGGAGAACAGCAAGATGAAAGAGGGTTTAATGATAGAAGACTAGAAAGCCCACTTATTTGACTGGACATGACCATTTGAGCTAAAACAACGTTGACCAAAAACACCCATCCTAACTAAGAAAAAAGTCGACCAGTCTTTCGAGCCAAAGCCAACAAGGCCAAAGACTACTAAGTGATCTGAGCTTGAACCCTTCAGACTAAAGCGAGATAAATAAGCATCCAAGGCAAACACTGCAAGAAAGCTGACACAATATAGTAGCTTACCTTCTGGTAGAACTGATTCAAGGAAAGCTCAGTTCTTGAATATCACCAACCATCCCACGGACACTTCTGGGCTCCTCATTCGAGATCAAGAAGTAACAATGTAGCCAAGAAGTCTTATAGTTATCTCTCATGCTCTTCTCGTTGAGGTGTAAGCAACTTATTGAGTTATTCACCCTCTACTTGACTCTACTTGATAGTCTAGCTTAACTCTGCTGATAAAAAATACTCTCCAGGTATTGAGGGTCTACAACCATACTAGATAGCTAATCGAAAATGCTGACCAAACCTAGCCGACCGAAACAGCCCTGTTGACCTGAAACCAAACAAGCTTAGTTGACTCTGCCAAAGAGCAGTCGAGTGATGACTCATATATGTAGAATATGTAGAATATCTAGAATATCTTGTACAACCTCTATTAAAAGCAGAGCTAAAAATATATACTCTCCCATATAAATTGTAAGATCATTTATGTGTTCACTCCTATTTCACTCTCTCTCTCCTATTTACACTCCATCTCCTTGAGCTGTGAGTCTAGTTAGTCTTGAGACAGATTCAGATTCAATCATTCAACTTCCTTGAGCTGTGAGTCTAGTTAGGGTCCATTTGGGTCAGCTTATTTGGTGCAGTGGCGTTGTGAAAATGCAACTGATCTGTTTGGATAAACTACGTTTTGGCATCTTATGCGTGTTTTCACACCGCAACTATCTGATTGCGATGACAACTTTCTGGCAGTGATATGACTTTTTTAAAAAAATAAAAATTTGTAATAGTTAGCACACCTAACTTATCAGCCGATTATTTTTAATCAGCTTATCAGCAGATTATTCAGTAAGCTGCAGCTGTCCCAAACAGACCCTTAGTCTTGAGACAGATTCAGATTCAATCATTCAACACTAAATGATTTTTTTTTTTTAAAAGAATGGCTTGAGCACAATAGCTTTGAGAAAATTCCTCTTAAAAAATCTGTACTTGCCAATTAAAAAAAAAATTCCTCGCAACATGTATATTATCATGGCCATAAAAATTACAGCCGCTCAAAAAGGACAGTTTAATTGATTCTAATTAGTTATATCCTCGAGCAAATAGTCCTTCATAAATGCTTTCTTACTGTTTAGCTAGCTAACCCTGCTTATCTCTCTCTGCTGTCGTCCAAACGGAAACCCTAACGAGCTTCTCTCTCTCATCTGCAATGCGCCTTGTTTCGTGCGATTAGTCTTGTTGAATCGCGCAACAGCAAAGGTTCATTATTTTTCCACTCTTCTTTTTGTTGCAGATAGTATTCGTTGTTTTTTATTCTTTGCTATCATGCCTTTGGTTATGCAATTTCTTCCTCAGCATTTTTGTGCCATTTCTGTATGAGCTTCGGCTATGCGTAAGGCATAATTTCCTTGGTGTTGGCAATTATTTTTGAACAATTCGTATGATTGAGTTCATGTTTAGTAATCATTAAGTCTTTGATTTTAATGCTTCCAGTGCTGGGTATAGTTTATTGCTAAGGTTTTCTGCCTGCTTACTTTGAGCAATGCTTTTCGTTCTGCCATTTTGTATAGAGAAGTAGTTAATTTAGAAGTGCAATATATTCATTACATTTGTAGATTCGGTTGACTGAACGCTTGAAATTATTTTATCCCTTTTTCTAGTTTTTCTATACTCTATGCTTGAAACACAGACCTCTCGACGTTTCCTAACATTTTTCGTATTGGTGGGTTAAAATACCTGATAGAAAATGTTGTTATTAGAGGTTTGTGCTGCTTGATACTGAATTGAATAATTATTACATTTTGTAAAGCAGTTTGGAGTCTGGGCAGAGGTTGAAGAATGCATCATTTGTATTATTTTCCACGCACTTTTGTTTCATCCATTTTCACTTACTGTTGGAGATGATAGATGAGCACTAAGAGAGCGTTTGTTTTGGCTTTTCGGCTAGAGTTCTGAACCTCGTCGGTGGATCACGGGTTTGGTGGATTGCGGTTAAAACCGCAGTATAAATGTTCCTAATATCGAGACCATGGCTAGTGTCCCTCATTCTGCATTCCTCTTGTGCTTTTGGATGCAGCACAACCGCCTCGCTTACTACAGCACCCCCACTCTATGTCCATGTTGGGCACCCGCTGGCTGGGTTAATGGTCCTTTTGTGCTATTTTTTGGGCGCCCTTGCACCCGGGACCGACTCCTTCGCTCCCAGAGCTAGTGCGCCTGTGCCAGTTAGGCGTGGGTGAGTGAGGTGCGGCTCCCTCTATGTTTCACAATTTTTTTTTTTAAGATTTTGAATCCGATGGTAATCTTTTTCTTCTCGGATGTTAACAAGAAGCTTAGAATATGGGTGATGTTTTATATTGAGGAATCTACAATAAGGTTTGGATGAATTTTTGTTTTAAATCTCAGTGGAAACTAGTTTGATCATCTGCATGGATTGGGCAAGATGATCATTTGGTTGTGAGATTATTGTGGTTATCAGTTAGTCATTGCATACTATAGTGGACACAACCTGTATTCTCTTATATGTTATCATTTAGGTACAAATAAGTAGGTTCTTCTATAAACCAGGTCGCACAGGTTCATTGGATGGTTAAATGACTTTATCCTTAATGATATTTTTCTCATTCTTATTTTCCCTTCTAATTGTTGGTTCTACAATTTTAATTTGACTTTATTTTTGTGTTTCTGTTTGTTTAATATAATACAATTAAATATGAGCAAAGGGTTTCAGACATTTATTCACAGACAACATTTTTCAAATTGAATTTTTCAGACAGTATAACTGCTTCTAGAACACCATCTTTTAAACTTCAGATTTTCCACAACAAGTTTTGAATTGAGAGTTCATATAGCTACAACCAAAACAAACACATCCTAAAAATATGCATTATTCTTAAAGCCGTATTCGACCACCAAATTAAGAATCTTCAAAATTTGCAGTGTTACAATTTATTCCCACCATTGTAGATTTAGATCCAATTTAATACCGCAAAATTTGAATATGATGCATCTTACTTGACCATATACCATATGTAAGAGAATTAATTAACATGCATGTGCTTGTGGCTGACCGTGATCTGATTTTTTGGCTTAAGAAACGAAAGGAAAACTTTTTATCAGCTGTAAAAGTCTCTTTTCTCTTTGTGAAGAGTTGGTGAATCCTTAGGATTTGTTTAGTTTGATTGAAATTGGAAATGAAATGAAATCCCAATAATTTATAGGTTGACTATTGATTTATTGCCAATAATTTAAGCTTTTTAAACATTTTTTCTCTTTTTTTTTCACTCAAATTCATTGCATCCAAAGAGAATTTAAGTTTTTCTTGCCAACTAATGACACTATATTTTGTTGCAGAGTTGGATACATTAGTCCACTAAATATTACCAGATCATTTTTTATCAGGTGGCTTTTTTTCAAAATTCCAACCGTTTTTTGATATTCTCCTTTTTAGATGCTCCATGCCATTTTGTCATCAATTTCACCTCTGTTCTTTCTGAGAAACAAAAGTTTTCAATTTCTTCTTCGAAAAGGCTTATGTTCTTTTCTCCATAGCCAATCTCTTCTGCCACCACCACCTTCATCTAACTTCTCAGAAGAAGTCATCTTAGAAGCAACCATCTTCAACCTCCACCGCTGTAGATGGCATAACCTGGAGCAACTTTTTCCAGCAATCACCGACAACATAATTTGTAGGGTTATTCTCCATTGCCACCAATCCCCTCGACAAGCTTTGTATTTCTTCCATTTGTCCGAGAAAATTAGAAAACAAAGAAAGCTCTCTCCTTTATCCTTGGACATTAACTGTGTGCTCATCCATGTTCTCATTGGGGCCAAAATGTTTGATGAAAGTCTCAACCTAATGAAGAAGCTGATACATCAAGGTGGTATTGCTCCATTGATTCTTCTGGATTCTCTAGGACATGTCTATATAAAGACTTGGTGCAATTTTGCAGCTTATGATGCATTGGTTCGAGCCTGCACTCAGCTCGAGGATAGCAAAAATGCTCATTTGGTTATCAAAACACTGAGGGGTAAGGGAATCATGGTTTCAATTCATGCTTGGAATAATTTCCTTAATTGTGTTCTGATGCTGAGACAAGAAGCTAATGAGTTTTGGATGTTGTGTGATGAAATGCTGAATTTTGGGTATGTTGAGAACATCAACACCTATAATTTGTCTATTCTTGCATTATGCAGGGAATTCAGATTGTTGGAGGCATTTTCAATTTTTTCTCGAATGATTAAGAGAGGCATTGCACCAAATGTTGTCACTTTAAACATGATTGTTGATGGATGCTGCAGGGAAGGAGATATTGTTCTTGCTTTTGAGCTTATTAAGAACTTTTCAGTAATCTTTGGGAGTTGGATTGAACCGAACTGCGTCACTTATAATAGCCTTATTAATGGATTGTGTAAGGCTGGAGATGCAGCGGTGGGTGAAAGAGTTTTAAGAGAAGACATGAGGAAATGGGGGATTAAGCCCAATTTGAGGACTTATGCTACTTTGGTGGATGGTTTTTCGAAGCAATGGAAGATGGATGAGGCGCTGAGGCTGTTTAATGAAATGCTGGATATGGGATTTTGTCCCAATTCTACTGTTTATAATTCTCTCATTAATTGTTTTCTGAAGCAGGGATATGTGGAATATGCCTGGTGTTTATTGTCCTCCATGATAGATGCTCGAGCCTTTCCTGACCACATCACATACTCAATCCTTGTTGAAGGTTGTCTGAGAAATGGGTTTGTGAAGGAAGCTTTTCAATGCCATCAAATGATGAGAGATGAAGCTCTAATTAGAGATGTTGTCTCCCATAATATTCTCATTAACTATCTCTGTAAGCATGGGAAGATTAAAGATGCAAAAATACTCATAGCAAATATGATTACTAGTGGCTTTTTTCCTGATTCCATAACTTACACCACATTGATTGATGGATGCTGCAGAGAGTGTGGAGTGGATGATGCCCTGCAAATATATGAAGGAATGGTTAAATATGACCAAAAGCCAAATTTAGTTACTTATAACACTATAATTAATGGATTGTGCAGAGAAGACTCTATTGATGTAGCCAGGTTTGTTATGGAGGAGATGATAAGAGCTGGTCTGGATGCTGATGTTTTTACTTATAACACCTTGATCAATTCGTATTGCAGAAAGGAAAATTTTGATGGGGCATTTTGTTTGTATTTTCAAATGAGGAGGCTTGGAATTATGGAAACTGAGTCCACTTACAATACGCTTATGAACTTTCTCTGTAAATCTGGATTTATTGAGCTAGCAAAGGATTTCTTGATGGAAATGCTCGACAGAGGTATTCTTCCTGATCAGATAACTTATACAATTCTTATTACTTTGTTCAGTAGGAATTGTAGTACTAATGAAGTTGTTGAATTACATGATTTTCTTGTGCTTAGAGGCGTAATGCCTGATGAGGATACCTATAATTGTATAGTCAGTCCCCTTCTTGAAAGGGAAAAAGTGCATTTGACAGACTTATAATATTCAGACTTCCTGGAGAGATTTTTTTGTGCTTAATGTGTTATCTTCAGTTTCATAAGCATAGACTGACTGTTCATGAAAATATTAATCTGGTGGATTTACATACATACCAATGAATTTCCATGTACTTTTATATCTAATATTAAAATTTTTTAGTTTATTTATTTGACGCTATATATCTAATATTTTATTAAGTATAGTTTTTTTTTCTAAAAATCATATATATATATATATATATATAGTTTTTTTCATATGACATCTTCTTCATGGTGGCGGGGTGGTCCTCTTTCTCTTCTTTGGTT